GGTCCAGGGGGGAGGGGGGGTCCAGACAAGATTTAAGCATTAATGAGTAGAGTGAGAAACCCCTTTTGGGAGATATGGAAGTAAGTCTAGGTGCTCCGTTTGGACAACAGTAGTGCTTGCCATCTTGTGGCATCTACAAGGTTCCCACTCTTCCACTTGCTTTTTATTTATGGACCTTTTAAGGACTTTTGAAGGCTAATTTAGCCGTTTTTTAAGGACTTTTTCTCCATTCAGCAGGGTAGTCACAGTGGATTTAATGATCGCTCAGCAATATGGGACAACAGTAGTGCTTGCCATCTTGTGGCATCTACAAGGTTCCCACTCTTCCACTTGCTTTTTATTTATGGACCTTTTAAGGACTTTTGAAGGCTAATTTAGCCGTTTTTTAAGGACTTTTTCTCCATTCAGCAGGGTAGTCACAGTGGATTTAATGATCGCTCAGCAATATGCAGGCTGAACAGAAAGCCACATGTCACTGAGCTGGTGTTCAAATCATTGCCGCCAAAGGAAGGGCACACCTTTATTTTTAGGGGCAATCAGCTGAATAAACTTGAATTCATTCTCAAAGTACACGAAGAAAATTTTAAATTTAGAAAATATAAAACTTCAATTTATTTTCAAATAAAAAGTACATTTTTAAGGCTTTTTATTGATTTTCGAAGCTTTCCCTGAAAATTAAGGACAATTAAGATGAACAATTGACTTCTTTTTTGAGGGATTTTTAGAAACCCTGATCTATAGGCAATTAGCAACTTTTGTTGGTTTTTACTATTCCGGGCAGGGCTTGGCCCCAATTACCTGCAAAAAACAGGTACTGGATTATTCTGACTGAGCATGCAAAATTCTACAAGGAAAGTGCATAATAATGGGTTACTTGATCATTTATAATTCTATTGATTATGTGGAATAAATTGTAAGGAAGGGATGTCAAAATATTTTCCTACAAAGGGCGCATACAGAAAAATCGAAGGATGCAAGGGTCACTTTAACATTGTCCGACTTTATTAAACATGCTAAAACGAATCAATCCAGCAATTATGTCCATCCACCCATCCATTTTATGAACCGCTTTATCCTCACAAGGGGTCGTGGGGCATGCTGGAGCCTATCCCAGCTGTTGGGCATTAGGCGGGGGACACCCAGAACCAGTTGCCAGCCAATCGCAGGGCACACAGAGACAAACAACCATCAGTGCTCACACTCACACCTAGGGACAAAGAGTGCAGGGATGTGTACCTTTCTTCAGGTTGCTCGCCAGAATGGCTCCATGTCTGAAGATCAATGTGTAAAAGACAGCCTGGCAGGCAGTGTAGAATGGTCCGTGCAGGCTGATGTCGCAGCAGGCCTGCCCACCTTTACTGTCCTGGCCATCAATATAGCGGTGAATCCACGAGATGAGCAGATCCAGACACGCTCGTACTGTGCTGTGGGAGAGAAGGTGCACACTCAATTAGAAACGCAAAACTTCCTTCAAACAAGAAATGAATAACTTCAACGATTGTTATAACAGTCACGAAACCAAAGTTGTGAATAAGCTTACAGCACAGGGATGAACTTGGCTCTGGCAAGGAAGCTTCCCATGTACCCCGCTGCAGCCTGGCGGAGGACAGCAGGCTGTGATGGACTCTGCAGAATCTTCCACAAGTGCTCCAGGAAAGCCTCAGCTAGGGCCTTAAAGACACAAAATTAGAAATATATATTCCTATATTAAACTTACAATGTATGGGGATTTTTTGGGGCCCGGTGGTCCAGTGGTTAGCGCGTCGACCTCACAGTGCAGAGGTACCGGGTTCAATTCCAGCTCCGGCCTCCCTGTGTGGAGTTTGCATGTTCTCCCCGGGCCTGCATGGGTTTTCTCCGGGTATTCCGGTTTCCTCCCACATTCCAAAAACATGCATAGCAGGCTGATTGAACACTCTAAATTGTCCCTAGGTGTGAGTGTGAGCGCGGATGGTTGTTCGTCTCTGTGTGCCCTGCGATTGGCTGGCAACCGGTTCAGGGTGTCCCCCGCCTACTGCCCGAAGAAAGCTGGGATAAGCTCCAACACCCCCCGCGACCCTTGTGAGGATAAGCGGATTAGAAAATGGATGGATGGATAGATGGGGATTTTGAAGACACTCAGACACTTTACCCAAAAAAAAAAAAAAAAAAAAACCCAGTTCCGAAAAAGCTGCGCATTCAGTCCAGGGGCTGTGCCGCTGCCAAGCACACAAACAGGGTAACGTCCACCATGGTGGAACTGCCGACAAGTCCCTCGATTGACACAGGGCAGACGGCGAAGAAGGTTTTAGATAACTGCTATGTGTAATACATAATTTAATTTAGTCATTGCTTAATAGGCGCAGTTTTCAATTTTCCCCACAGTATTTTTAACTCATTGAATCCCACCCATTTCCGCTGGAGCAAAGCCCTCAATTGCAGCCGTTTTACTGGATTTTGACTGATTTGCAATGCCCACGGATTATTGGGTTCTAGAAAATAGCTACATTTCATAAGATTTCAAGTTTCTGAGGAAAGAACGGAGAAAAAGACCTTTTTGTCAAAGCATGCATTTCAAGCATAATTTCAGGTAGGGCATCTCTAATTAAATGGATTCAACTAAATAAGATTTTCCTTCGACAAAACAACATAAACAGCAGCACAAAAGGGCTTTTGATAGCAAAAATATTTATCTCCACTCAACTGATGAAATTAACTATGAAACAATGACTTCAGTGAGTGTGTGCACGTGTATGTTTCAGAGATGAAAGTGGACTTTCCTGAAAATTCCGGAAAAAATAAAAAATTATATATACTGTGTGTGTGTGTGTGTGTGTGTGTGTGTGTGTGTGTGTGTGTGCGTGTGGTGTGTATGTATGTATGTGTATATATATATATATATATATATATATATATATATATATATATATATATACACATTAGAGTTATATGTCAAGAGCGTATTTATACCGTCAAAATGACGGACGGCCTTAAATTGTCCCTGTCCACTCTTAAAAAAAATCTGTCAATGATGGAAAATAGTCCGCTAATGTAACCTCTTCAGGAACAGAAATATAAAAGATGTAAATGTTTATCCAGTCTTGTTTAACTTAGATTTCATTCGAAAAGACAGGCTTTGTTATCAGAAATCACCCCTCCTCCTCACCAATAAAATATGAAATCTCGGGTTTGCTTCGGGCTCGGGCCTGCAAATCAAGTTAAGTGATCGGGCTCATGCACCCTTTGTGGTTTCCATTCTCGCCGAAATTTCGAAATCTCAGAGATATGGCGAGGCCATGAGAATGCGAGGCGAGGGTATTACTGTTGTGGAGACGCCACTCGAGCTAGTCTGCTGCTCTCTACTATGCGTGCGTCAGCGCGAACATGTACGCAAGCGCGTCTTTTGATTTCAACCAATAAGCGCCGACGCAACGATGTCACACACCCAACATCACACACAACAACAGCTAAGCTAAGCTAGCCGAGACGACACTCAAAGTCGGACGGACACGCTTTTCTGCAAATCTGTGTGTTTCCCTTTTTGTCCAAATATATTTTTTACGACACCTGTCTTGTCCACGGTGTCTTTTATTCGTTCCACTGGGGTTTAGCAAATGTGTTGATAAAGAGACGAAAATCTCTACTGTTACTAGTGTTAGTGTCTCAACATGGCTACGCTCGTGAAAGCAAAACATCGAACTCAAACGCGTCTTCGTTCAGTGTTGTCAACTAATATCCGGATTAATTTTAGGCAAATTTTCCGCAATTCTCTGGAGAGATTTTCATAAAAATGTGAAAAACCCGGAATTCCGGGAAAATCCGCAGGACTTTCATCTCTGATGTTTGCATGTGTCAGCAATTTCATGCACGTGCATGTGTGTCCCCCCTCCCTTCACCCTGCAACTTATGCTTTTTTTTTTCTGTGTGTGATACAAAATGAAGCAATGAAATGTCTTATGCGGCATTCTGGTTTCTCGTCGCTTGCTTTTGCGAAGGCACTTTCGCTGTGCTGTGGCTTTTGCGTGACGCGGACGAAGTTCGTGCAATGGAGCCTCTTTTGATGGCTGCTTGTTACTTTTGCACAGACGAAAGCGTCCTGCTGCTTTCAGCAACTCCATCTCCCTTGTCATGGTGGAAGATTTTCTTTCCCAAAAGCAATCCTCACGGGTCAATTGTTTTGACCTATCGCTACTGGCGCCGACATCAACACTGAACAACACAGGGCAGTGAAAAATGCTGGCCCCTGTCCCGGCTCCTTTACAGTGCGAGGGCTCAACCCTGCTCCAGCGGCACACGTCTTGCGACTGCCCTCTGAACCTGATCTGGCAGCGCAAGCCCTGCGACCACCCTCTGAACCTGCTCAGGTGGCGCAAATCCTGTGGCTGCCCTTCAAGCTTACTCTGGCGGCGCAAATCCTCCAGTCGCACTTCAATCCTGTTCCGGTGGTGCAAGCCCGATGGTTGCCCTCCGATTGTGTTCCGGCGGCGCACATCTTTCGGCCTGGCCTCCCTTTGAACCTGTTCCGGCGGTGCCTTTGCTACTTTATTCCATTGTTACTCATGATGGTGGTTGAAAAAAGTTGAGAACCGCTCATCTAGGTGTTTCTTAAAGGGAAAGTCAAGTCAAAAACTTTTCTTTCCAACATATTCTATAACCCCGCCCCCACTAGTCTAAACATGGTTTTCTGAGGAATACTGAGATTGTCAAATATGAATAAAGTAGAAAAAAAATCACCTGTTTTAATCTAACTCAGGAGGATGCCATTTTGCCTTGTACTGCTGCTTGCTACCGACTGAAAGTAACATAACAGTGCCTAAGCTCAGTTTGCGAATGACACATAACCAAACCCAGAAAGCAGGTGAGCCGTGATGGTCGTTATCTTATAAATTCATTTGTAAAGGTTTATAGCAGAGGATGAAGGGGAGACTCACCAGCCTGAAGCTGCAGAGGTAAAAGAGCATGTACTGGATGTGACACGAGGCATGTGTGGGCAAGATGAGCTTGTCAAACACATCCAACAAGTCCCGGTACAATTCCTTGGTTCTGTCTGTGTGCAAAGCACCTGGAAATGAGGACAACGATATGAATACATTTGAATGAAATCAACCAATTAAGCAAGTGTATTCTGATGATCCCTATTGGTCAAACCAGTACAGTGGTACCTCCACTTACGAAATTAATATGTTCTGGAAGAAATTTCTTCACTAGAAAATATTGTAAGTAGAGACGTGTTTTCCATGTAAATGCCCTAATCCGTTCCAACCCCCCCAAAATTCAGATTTTTTACAAAGCATAAAAATGCATCAAAATATGTAACAAATACAGTACATGTTACAATTAGATTAATGCACAATAAATGAGAGTTGTGCATAATGTAAAAAAACAAAGAATAAAAACAATGGTCATTTAACCTTTAACTGCGTCCTCATCATTTTTTGTCCTCTTTAGTTCATGTTCTCTCTCAGAAGTGGTTTTTAAAAGAACTGATCCAAGGACGTTTGCTTTTGTCGGCTTTTAAGAATCCTTCGAAAATGTCCAAGGCAAACATCAGCACAGTGAGCGATCGCTGGACTGGTGAGCACTTTTTCTAAAACTATCGGAACGCCTCATGGCCCGAGGGGCGAATGACGAGGACGCTGCAGAGACACATATCTATTTATCTGTCTACACACATAGACATATACGGTAGAGGTATGGGATGTCAGGATGATGCTCGGTAATAGCCAATGGCAGAGCAGCTATAAGTATGTTGCGTTCAGGAAATTCGGACCTGCGAGTAGCAGCCCATAATGTATTTTTTCATTTCGTATCTTGAAATTTCTTTCTGAACAAGAGGCAATATTTTCCTCTTGAGGCGTTTCGTAACTTGAAGATTTCGTAAGTAGAGGTTGCACTGTAGTTTAAAGACAATAACATTATGATGTAATCGGCTACCGTTGACATGGCAGAGGTCCTTGATGTACGCCAACAACATGGTCATGAGCGAATCGAGCCTCTCGGCCACCGGGTGTGCCATGACTCCCAAACTGGGGGGCTGACCTGTCGGCAGGTCCTCATCCTAACACACACACACACACACACACACACACACACACACACACACACACACACACACACACACACACACACACACACACACTTTTGTTTGATTCCAAACCAGGGTGCTGCGGCGCACTGACATCCCCAAACTTGTCATTGATCTCCTTGAACTCGTCAGAATCTCCCAATCAGTTTGGTTTCTACATTAGCAGTAGGCTACTATGAGAGCGTGACAGGACACCCGAAGTTCACCGAAGTTCTTGCCATGTTTGTTCAAAGTATCTTTTCATGTATATAGTTCTTGTTGTTATATCTCGGTTTGTATTTTTTTGGATTGTCCTTTGAGTTGACAAGCAATTTACGTTTTTCTCATTCCTTGCCTTTTGCAAGCGTTTTTGTTTGTTTCACTTTTTCTTGGTTCTTTGTTCCAAGCGTCCTTTTTTGGGACTTTGTCGGTCTTGCGTTCTTTTTTAATTAAATATTTTTTGTCAAATCTCTTGTTTGTGCCTACGCTTGTGGAATCCAATTCTGTCCAGGGTAATACGGACACCTGACACCAAGACCATTCAAAAATAATAATAAATATCACAGGTTTCAGAGCCATGTGAGAAAAAAAACTGTGAATTTGTGTTCATTTATTTCTCCAACATGGCAATTTATAAATTTATATATGAGTGAATTGGTTCATATTGCATCATATCGGCATCAGGAGTTGGTCATCATCATCATCACAGCATAACGAGCTGCGTATTTTAAAAATTCTATATGATAACTATGATGGGGGGGGGGGTCTCTTACATACCATGTCAAAGAGGGCCTCTTCAGTACAGTTGCCTGCCTGCTGGCTTTGTGACAAGTTCTCTTCGGCCTCTTCAATATCTGAGCGGGATGCACTCACCTAAGACAGGAGATAATTGTTTGTTCTTGTGTGTTACAGTTCCCATACAACTATGACATCATTGGGCATTAACATTCTGAAGCCACAGGAGGTGCCCCTTCAATTTGTTTATGCAATACAATGATCGAAGTTGAAATCTTTACATAAACTGTTGTGTTTCGATTCAGAATGTCACCAAAATAGAATTACGCCAAGATTTAAAAGCCAAATACGCAAAGACCTATAAAGCAGATCTATATAGGACAAATCGAGGTCCTGAAACATAACAGCACTTGTGTAGTGTTTCTGTATCAAACCAAATAGCTGAGAAGTGTGAGCCTGCGTCATGTAATGAATGTTTTTACTTGGGAGTTAGCGGTTGAAATCCATATCAATAGACGCATAAAATAACGATACTGAGGAGCGTTGCCAGATATCCCCAAAATACAGTATCTCTACCTCCTCTGCCTCGCTACTCTGGTCATATGAGATGATAAAATGAGCCTCTTCATGCGGGACCATATTTACCGTATTTTCTGCACTACAAGACGCTTCGGATTATAAGGTGCACCTTCAATGAATGGCCTATTTTAAAATTGTTTTCATATATAGGGCGCACTGTAAGGCGCAAATTGAAGCTACATTAGTGGCTATGATTGCACTGTGTATCCACTGTGCTACGCCCTAAGGCACATATGTCAAAGTGCCGGCCCGCGGGCCAAATCCGGCCCGCGAGAATGTTTTCAGTGGCCCCTGGGATGATATTGATTTATTCTTAGACCCGGCCCGCGGACCGCAGCAAGCCGAGAGCCCGCAGATCTTTTACACGCACCAAAACTACATTTCCCACAATGCAACGGTGACGCGCCAAGCAGTCGGCCGCTTTATTTAAATATTTATTCGTCTAGCAGTCGTTCCCATAACAGTGACATTAGCTTTCAGATACCCATCAAAAATGGCAAAACGGAAGGTGGACACTGAGAACC